GAAGTTTACAATTTTGCCAGTTCGCATTGGTACTTTGTCATGTACTTACTACCTGACAAACTGCACATCTTCATTGTATTCTTAGACAGTTAATATTACAAAAACACTCCACATCACAAATTTCAGAACTCTCAGAAAGCATCACGTAAGACGACAACTCACAATTTCTAGTTTTGCTGAAGACAATGTTCTGAGTTACTCAAGGATTGTGGTCTTTATTTTTTTCTCAAAGTCATTCAGGTTCACAATCAAACATTGGTTTAGAAAAATAAAGATTGGAGACTGATACAAACCCACTAGTACAAACTGCTTGGTTTAACTCACAATAAAGCATCTTCAAAGCTTGTGCTATGCTAATTATTTAAAAAGATGTTGAAGTAAAAGATACATATAGTATAGTAAAAGATAAAGTTTAAAACTCTGAAGCATATCTGGACTGAGTGATTTTGAGAGTGTTTCCATAAGACGTTCACCTAGGGGTCATCAAACAAGTGCTGGGACAAATCATCTTTAAACAGCATGTTTCAGATGGTTACTCTGATCCTCAAAAGCAAATCCAAGCAGATTTCATTACAGCAAGAGAATCTGACAATACCATCAATTACTCTGGGTTTTGCTACACCCAGAGAACCTTCTGAACAAGATCAGTGTTTGTCATGCTTGCTCATTATCTAACATGCATCATTTTCCAACAGCCTTTCTCTTCAACCTTTGTGTTCCAATGAGAACTTGACACCGACCCCACACTACTCCCCTCTGCAATAACACCCTGTGGCTGTCATCAAATTATTCCAGCAATTTAAGCAGCCAAAAAAAAAGTTAACTTTTTTATTTTTAGCTTAGCTGCTACTACCACCAGCAGAGTTGCAAGCAAAAATTTAAACTGGAATGAGAAATTATAACTCCATGCTATACTTTCTCCTTGCAGGGTAGGCATAAATAACAAATCTTGATATTAACAGCCCTTTCAAAACCAGGTAACTTTTACAAAAATAGGAGCAAGTTATCACCCTGCTTCAACCAACACAGGTTTGTTACATATGTCTTATAAATACCTTTAAAAGCTCGCCAATTCCCACTCATACTTTCCCAAAGCAGCACCATACTTTTAATGCTGTGATACAGCTGTTGAAGAGGTACTACTTAAGATTTTAACTACTGACTGATTACACAGTTTCTTAGGGAACATTTTTAGCAGTCTCTCCTTTACAAATGTCTCCTCTCAGACATCTCAAAAAGACTGGCAGGAGTTTCTAGCTGCAGGTCAAGTAAAGCAAACCCAGCAGGTGCTGTTATACAAGTCAAACTAACCATTGGGGCAGCCCACTAATGTTCTTGCTGGAATGCTTCAGTGAGGCACAGAACGTCTTGCTTTAAGAAGTTGATCACCGTTCCCTATTTTTTAATGACTTAAAACCAAGATTCATGAGAGCAGAGCAGGCCATCTCCTCTCACCTTCTCTGACCCCACTCTGAACCCTGATAGATCTTGCAAAGTTAGGAACACTTATGTTCCTCTTGGTACAGATATACAGCGCTTCGGAGGGAAAGGGGAGTCCAACAGAGAAGATTAATGGCTTATTTGCCTTCTCATCGTGTTTACCTCACTTGAGAATTATCAGTAAACCTGATTTCCCAAAGATTCATGCAAAGGGTTGAGATGTCACCCAGCAATACCATCTCCCTGCTGAATATCACAGACATGCTATGAATTGAAACGGTACAACAGACTGCAGTAATGGGTCAAATCATCTTTGAGATGAGTAATAAAACCAGGTTTTGCTGAGCAGCTTTTTATTCAAAATAGCATTGGATTTCAAAAATAATTATGTAATGCCTTCAGAAACGCAAATACCTCTGGGAATGGTTTCATTATGGGTAACAGACTCGTGAAGTACCAGCAATAACAACACAGTCTAGACAGTCCTCAGTACAAGGACCACTTTTTTCCCCCCATTCTCATCAACCATGCACCAAATAAACAATAGGTGATTTTATTTTAGACTCAGTATATACTGAAGTCTACATATTACAGAAAAGTTTCTCATATGAAAAAGCCTTGAACAAAGCAATCATAACATGATTTGGCTAAAAATTAAATGGCACAAAATAGCATCTGCATTTTAAAAGGATAAACACTTTGCTAGTTAGCTGGAATAAGACGATCCAAAACTTGAATGCAGAAGCAGCCTGCAATTTCTTTCAGACAGCAATACCAAAATTCCAAAGAATAAGCATTTTGAGAAGAAAAAAGGAAGTTCTCCAGACTCATTAGGAGACATGTTAGAAGTATGCAGAGGAGGAAAGAAAATAAAAGACTGGAGTAAAACTATAATTCAAAATTGCTTCAAAATACTGTGTCAGTCACATTAAAATCAAAATATTAGAAAAATGTTTTCCTGATATATGAAGAAAAAAACCTCACTTCACAGAGAGTCTGGGTTACAAACCAAGGCTAATCTAAAATTGTACTTGGCAAATTACGCAACAGAATTGGATGTAAATTCAACAGCAAATACTACATGATCATACAGGTGAACATTAAAGACTTACACTGTCAGACTCAAACTCATCAGATGGAAAAAAAATATAAAGGAAAGCCATAAAATAGAGACAACATACAAGTAAATCACAGGAAGCTTCAGAGGAGATTTTTCTCACAGAAATTAAAGCAGTGCCAACATAGAAGGTAGCAAAGAAAAATTATGTAAGAATATTAACAAGACTCTCCAGGAACCTAAGAAATGTCCTTCTGTCTGTCACAGCAGGAGCCTGTTGCTCTGTTCTTCCCTGCAACCTCACACTCTCTCCTTGCACTATGCTCAGTACTGACTGCATCTTAGACTCTTCTATTTTACTCTCCAAACTCCTCATTCAGTCCAGATGCATTTTTCTCTTGAGCATGTTAACTTGCTCATCTTCCTCCTCTCAGACAACTCTCCCTGACTCAGTCACTGTCATTATAAAGAAATAGAAAGAAATAAAACCAGTATCAGCTTTCACACCATACTTAAGTGTAAGAAACCAGGTTCCAGTACATGACCAAAAGCAACCAATGACAGGCTCTACAGGTTTGCTTGCAGTACCACAGATCAGTCCAGTACAGCAGCTGAGATTATTCTCCTATGGATTTAAATAGGCTACTGTGCACTACAGGCCTGGGGGAAAAAGGTTTATTCGTGGACATTTCTGGAGGGGGTTTTTTGTTTAAGTATTGCAGGAAATGCAACTCAGATGCTCTCCTTCCATTCCTGGGAGCAGGGGAGAGGAGCAGAGTGCCTAGTTAAAGTTCTCCTCCCTTCTCTATCTCCAGCATTTATTTAAGGTTCAAGTTCACCATGCAAGTAAATTTGACAAAAAACTGTTTGGATATAAAGCAAATCACTTATTTGGTAAGATATAAGAATGGTTTCAAGATAAAATTTAAGAAGATTGGGGAAAGGGACTGAGCAAAAAACAAAAAATCCATTTAAATATTACAATACTTTTGAAACAAGTCCTTTGACTCTTCTTTTGGAATAAGTTTCCTCTGGGAGTTTATTTTTTCCCTACAAATGAAAACAAAAATCTAACTAAATTTTAATTTAAATCAAAATAATTTATTCTGGGTTCAGGCAATAAGCACAGGAAACAAGAAAATGACACAATCCTAATCTGTATTTCTATCATTCACAAGAAACAAATTCAATGTTTAAAGACAAACAAAACCAATTACAATGACAACCAACCTCACACAAAGTCATTAGCCAACTACCTTACAATAAAAGCCATTAAAATCTTAATTTCAAACAAACTGTTATAACCAATACTAACATATTTAAGGTATAAACAGTATATTCACACTTGTTCTCCGATACCAGAGTGGAACACAGTATGAAACCCTGAACAGAATTCATAAAACCCTACCCAGTCTTAGAGCAGCTTTCCTCTGTGTTTCAAAATAAATGCATGAACTTCATGACTCAGTCATCTTAGATGCTGTGCATTCTGGACCAATCCAGGCTTAACCTTAATCACTAACATCAAGGTTATGTGTTTTGCTATACCAGAAGATGAACCTACAGAACCTCCAGGGTTCAGTCCTCAACAGTGACAACTAGGTTTATTGAACCATCAGTCCTACAGAACTCAGAATTTTAAAAATTAATTCTTTCCTGGCTCAAGTACCAATGAAACTTTGTCACTTTCCGATCACTATTCTACTTATTCTATTCTGGTGCATTTACACCAAAAAAGCAGTACCACAGATCACTGATATTTTAAGGAAAAGCCATCTAAGTCTGATCATACATACACAACACAAGGCTATTCAAATTCTTGATCTTTACCTTCCTGTTTCATACTATCGTAAATGCCATTTATAACACTCATTCACACTCCACTGCTCAAATATTCTCACTCCATCCCTTGAATTTCTTCCAAGCTTGCCTCTACACTCAAACTTCTGTATTTTGAATGGGTTTTTTTCTTTCATTCCAGTCTACAGTTTCAGAATCCACAAGTCACACATGAAGTAACAACATCATTTTTGCCTTACTCAGATCTTTTTTTAAAAGAGGCTTTAAATTTCACCTTGGTACTAGCAGGTTTTTTGGCATCTTGCATATGCATTTTGTCTTGTATCACATTCTCATGGAATTAAACACAAAGATCTACACAAGATGAGGTTGGGTTTTTTTAAAACAACTTTATATTCATGGCCTTCCAAAATATCATCACTGCTTTGTAACTTTTTTTTTTATATATATATGCGTACACAAAGTAACAGTGCAGGTAGACACACTTCACTTTTGCAACAGTAACAACATATTACTCCCAAAATATAGTTTAGTTAAGTAATTCATTGAAGTACCATTGAAATAATCAGTACACTTCTGTCATCCACACTTCATAAGATTTATATTAAAACAGAATTTCCTAGGAAGTTTGAGTAGATTTTCAAAGAGGATAGCATGGACAGAAATATTTAAAAAGAAACCTAAATCAGAAAATATAGCCTACCAAATATGTTGGTGGAATGTCCTTTCCGGGCAATTGGTTTGAGCTCATTATGTCCCCATCCATATTGTCTATAATTGTCCCAGGCATGCTTCATCATCTAAGAGATGGAAAAAATAGGATTCAATTACATTATAAAACCACTTTGTATGAATACAATATTTTACTCCTTATTTGAGACTTCATCTTTCACAGTCATCCAGCATACTGATAATTACTTTGCCACTATTTCTATCTGTTACAGAAATCAGATTATACAGCATGAATAAATTTGGAAACAACTTCAAGTCTATTTGATTTGAGCTCTAGAGCTTATTGCTCTGCGTTAGGTTATTTTCTTGTTCTTTCTTTTCCTAAAATATATGCACAGACATTTAAGAATTTAAGCATAAGGAATTGGTGAAAAATACTAACAACTAAGATGCTAACCAAAAGAAAAAATTTCTACCAATATCTGAAGAATAGGAGATTTATTTACACTAGTGCATCAAAGTATGACTAAACAATTTTGCAAAAGGGATAATAATTTTTTTATTAGCCACACCTACTTGACAAAGATATACTGTCATACAACCTCTACCAAAAGAAATGCCAAAAGCTTTGCTCTTTAGAAAGCATAATGAACAACGCAGTATAAAATTATTAATATTTGCTCCACAAAACATTCTCAATTCTTTTTAATAAATGTTTTCACCATCTAGTAAGCCAACTCCATCTAAAAACATCTAAAAAACAGAATGTCTCATTGACCCATAAGTATTAGTTGTGCACATCCACCGCTAAGCAGTGCTTTTATGGATTTGCTAAAACTTTTCAAATTCCTTGCTTGTTAATATACAGCAAAAATTCAGCAGCTAACAAATTTCAAAGCAAATGCAGTTAAAAAAAATCAAATATTATTAGTTACCTAAACAGATCAAAGCAAATAAGATGAAGAAATCAGATTCCAAAAGACAGTGCCCCAGACACAAGAACTGCTAGGAACAAACCTGTTCTAAAACAGCTATGTGGCTGTATCCACAACATTGTACATATTTTATTTTTATACTGCATCTTAAAAGTTATATTAAAGTATTGTTAATATAAACAAAAAGCCCCAAAAAGGTATAGGACTTAAATCACAATCTCCACAAGTTTGAGAAATGTTCTCTAAGAGGAGAAACTATGTTAATGTAATTAATAGATCAATATTAAGTCTTTAAGAAATTGATTATATCAGGGCAAGTAAAGATTTCACTATGATTTACAAGACTGTATTTTAATCTTATTTTAATCAGAGAGTCACTGTACCCACAGAAAACAGGAGGGAACAAGCAGATGCTGGCTAAGAAGTGAGGTGCAGCCAGCTGCCTTACCAGCACTACCTCACACAGAAGGAGCTCTCCGAGTTCAGGATTTAGTGGAAGTCAGCATCCAGTAATCCCAGATCTGCCAAACTACATCTAAACTGCCTGTTAAGACATGCCAAACAAAGTCTCTGTTTCCCTACAATCATCGAGAGATCCCTGTCCAACCTACACAGCTGTAATTCCTTTGAACATATACTCCCTCCAAATTTCCCATGGCTCAGACCATAAATGTGAGCCACAACAAAGGTATACGCACAGGCCCAGAAGCTGGGAAGCACTCCTGTATTAAACTAACATCAACCTAGGCACAGATGTCCATCTCAAGAAGACTGAGATCTCACTCCTACTGCTTGTCATTCAAAGTCAGCTCACATGTTGCTTTTGGTATTTGCACTAAAAGATCCTGACACCCACTTAGGCAATAATACTGTATCATTTCTTTTAGTGTCATGAACCTGTAATGTAAGAAAAAGAGGATGCAAATACTATACTAAAAGAGGAGAGAAAAGCTATTTCATTAGCATTCACAAATTCCTGAGTGTTTACAAAGCACTTATCAAATTGACCAATTAGTAGCTATTAGAACCTCAAGCTGACTCAGGTAAAGTGATCTTCTCTTGACAGGTAAGAAAACTACAGCATGACAAACACAATAAAAGCCTGATCACAGGCAGTATAGAAGGTCCTCTGAGATCTCTTACTAACATTATCCAGAATCAACCTACGAATTTTTATATAAAATTGTTCATTAACTAAAGATCATAGCATCAAGAATCACAACATTGTTCAAGCAGAAACGGACCTCCGGATGCCTCCAGTTCAATCTCCTGCTCAAAGGAGCATCAGTTATGGGATCAGACTAGGCTACTTAAAGCTTTATCCAGTCACAGTGGATTTAAGATTTTCCCAGTCAGAATGAGTCAGTCAAAGCCTCTGTGAAGTGTCCTCATCTAACTCATAGCTTGCCCATTCAACTCCAAGTCCTAAAAACTTTATCGGGGAAAAGAGAGACCTATAGATTAAGAAGGCACTAGAGGATGAAAATTAAAAAATTACTGACTAGTGAGATCTATGGGAGTTTAATAACAGATAGATGTCTAAACAGCAAGGTGACCATGACATGGCCAACTTGCTTCCACGTAAGGGAAACTGGGCTTCTAGGACCTTAGATGCACCAAATAAATATTTTGTGAAGGAGAATCAAATGACCATTGACATTTTAGCTATGTAAAAATCTCAAAGTGCAGGCAAATACCAGTATAGATCAAAACTAGCTAAGTCTAGAAAAACAGACACCAACTTGTTTCCTCATGACAGAATGTTAATTGTGAAACATTCCACTGTCCCCATTTGCTATGCTTCTGGGGGGAAGATCCAGAGGTTTGGTTTGTTGGCTTGTTTTTGTTTTGTTTTTTACAGACTGTTCAAATCTGAGGAAACCCAAGAAAATTGTTGAAATTAAAGGGATGGAATTAAATATATGACAACATAAGATGTTTCTATATCCAGAAGATCATAAGATAAAATTATCCTAAGATAAAATTTCATTAAGATAGAAACTGTAAAGGAGTCGATTTCACCAGACTCATTAATTAATGCATAAGTAACTTAATACACTACAGAGACCAGAAACTCTGTTGAACACCAAGAGACTAAGACACAGTTGACTACATCATCTAAGGTTCTGAGATAGGAAATTGTATTTTGAGGACACTAAGCTACTTTGATAAACACGAATGCATGCCTATCCTATCCCCTCTGCCTCCTCCGAACTGTACCAAGAATATGGTGTTGTAACTCCACGAGAATGGTTTGACTATTACACTAACTAGTCAACTGATTTTTTCCAGATGAACACTGAACATTACTCAGGCATGCAGCTCATTACCCGCCTCTACCACAAAGTGAGCAAGCTTCACGATATCACGTTAGCAGATAACTGCATGCTACACACAAGTGAGAAACCCCACAGCTCTTGTATACAATATTAAGTTTTGTAAAGATGATATGCCAAGAGATCTTATAACAACAAGGAGATTTTTGTTACTAGCAGAATTGGTAGCATGATACACTACAGATATAACATCTATACTATTGGGAGCAGTTGTGCACACAGCAGTTTTTGGGAGACAGAAGATGATAGATGCCTCTGCCAGCTAAAATCTTAACAGAGGATGACACTTTGGTTCAGGAATTACAAGCAACATGAATTCCTGATCTGAAAAATAAGATTATCTCTATGGTTATGCCAGATAGCATTTGCATAGTGAAAGCTGGAAATGCTTCAGGTGTAGATAAGCTTTTCTCAAAAAAACCCTTGTCTTTAAGAAGAGGGAAGTCTCAGACTCTGACTGGATCATCAGTACTAATGATAACAGAAAGAAAGTAAAAATACTTGAAAAAAAACACCCCTAACCTCTAAAGAACCCATGACAGAGGCATATGCTCAGTAGAGTGAAAATAACAAGCCAGTCCAAGATGAATCAATAATTGTGAAAAAGACAAGGTATAGATTTCCATAGATGAAATTTCCACACCTGATAGCAGTTTGTCTAAGAGTATGCTTGGAGCTTGGTGGCATATCAACAAAGATTTTGCAATCTGTCCACCAGGGAACAAATGGTTTTAGCAATGGACTTTATACTGACACTATTAATGCCAGATCTTACTTCTGAAAGCATTATCATTGCCCCGCATATGGTGCATCCCATAGTAACGTTTTCAACAGCCAGCAAGATACAGTTGCATGTACAGCTTGGTAATTCTACAAAAAGAAAGCCAGAATGGCAAGAGTCGGGGCATACCAAATGAAACTGATTTTGTGGGTACACCTTTATCTAAATGCTTTTACTGACTTTAGAACATGTTCATGGGATCTGACCCTCTATAGTCATTGGGAAATCAGAATTTTATAGAGACAGGGTTGTAATGATGTCTTTTGACAAAATCATAATTGTAACAGTAAAAGGATGTTACAATGATTTCAAAGAGACTTTTGTAAGGGAGTTCTATCGCTATCACTACAGCAGCATGTTAGAAACAATACTTCAAACTACATATTGGTTCAAAAGCCCCTTTCCACCCCTCAGAAAAGGGCAGACACCTAGCTAACAGAAGAGTATCGAGAAATAAGCAAAAGAAACAACTTACAGGCAAATTACAGTCTTTACTGGTTGTGCCTAGAAATCAAACTAATGCCATTCCATCAAGAAATAGGTTCTACTTTCAGAAGGGTATATTCCGGTTAAGGGTATGATTTCAAGAGATTTATATAAACCACCTTCAAATTCTCTTTTAAAATTAATCAAGGACGTGCTAGACAAGATTACTGCTCAACTGGCAGATTTAAAATTAATAACCACTTTACGACTGTCTGCAGAGAATACTTTTTGGAGGTTAAAGAATGATCTTTACCTTGTATAGATACTCAGATTTTTGAAGAAACTTAGAAAACATACAAATTATTTTAGTCTTCTGGGAGCTATAAATCTCTACTTAAAGAGACATTATTTCAGGCTTCAGACTGTGCCACTGTCATACATTTCTGAACACTGTCACTGAAAGTCTGTTTGGAACATGCTCATAACACACACAGAAAGCCGGGTTTTCTTTTACTGATTAATCTAGTAACAAATCCATTACTAAAAACAAAATGTTTATCAAATGTATGCAAAATGGGAAGCTTGTCCTTTTTTGTTGTCATGAAATTACATGAAGTCTAAGACATCTGATGGAACTAAGGGGAAAATAC